AGCAGGATTCTGAATTTATCCAGATATTACTGAGATAAAATATTGTATTGATGACTAAATATCACAATACAGAATATTTATAATTCTCACTTTCTAGAAAACAAGACTGTGGCCTGCTGCCCAGTAGATCATCAGGCCATTGACAGATTTGCTTAATGTAAGCCTCTTAAGTCTTTCTGATACATATTCAGAGGGTATGACATGGAATCCCATGATCTCAGATGCTTTATGAGATTTTAAAATATAATTTGATACATACATATATACACACACATATATTTAGACAATACACAACCATGAAAAAACGCAGTGTCTGGAAGGTCTTCCTATTGCAGGTCTGGTGCCTCAGTGCTTTATACTACCAGCTTTACATCACTGGGAAATCTGTCAGGGCAATGTTATTATATAATTGCTTCCTTGATGTTGTTTTGTGATACATGTTAGAAAAACTGTTTGTTTCTCCAGTCCTTCACTTTATTTACCTGCACTGCCTGGATGCTTATCCATCGGACCCGAGCTACCAACTCATATACCTCAGCTATGCCCAGTCAAATCCTTCCCACATGGTAGAAGTGCTTAGTTTTAAAAGGTTTTTGTTATTTCTTTGTTACGCCTTTCATTGGAAGTGCTGTAATTCATTTCAGCTGTGCTGGAATAGTGCCAGGAAGACCAGTTCTCTGCTTACTTTATGCTCTGAGTTGAAGAATTTTAAAGCTTACTATTATAAGAATGTGCACTGGAAAATACTGACATATTAGGCCCTCTGAATTGCAAGTCACATCTAGAGCTGAAGATCTGCCACTAAATGTTAACAAAATAGTTTTTAGTGGATATTCAAAGAGTTAATACTGAAATGCAACTTTAAAGAAGACTTTTAAACTATTCCACAAGGCCATTCAATTGCTTGCCAGAGTTCCTTGTGGGCGATATATTTCTTTACAAATCTCGCTAGATAAATACAAATTACCAAAACCTCAACTCTCTTTTTTTTTCTTCTATATTAAAATTCTTTGTCTGTTCAACACACATAATGGGGCAATACTCTCTTCAATGCATCTCAGGTATGCCTTCAATCAGGCAATGCTCATCAGTTACGTTGGATCATCCCATATTTAACCTTCATTTATTTCTCAATTCTGTTACCTTGTCACATTATTTAAAAACATTTGTCACCTTGTTTAAAAAAAGGAACTGAAGATATTATAGGAATAAGGCTATGTTAACAGACATAATGCCTCATAGTAGGAAGATTTTAATGTATATTTTTTTGTGTCCCTAATTAGAAACATTTAATTCCACATCTGGGCCACATCAGGTTGCAGGCTGTGCCTTTAACTGCATACAAAAGCCTACACTTACACTGAGTTCCTATCAGTTGATATGATGCATTTTAACATGAGCTAAGGACAATTATCTCCTATTAAGGAGGCAGAAAAATGGAGTTGCAGTAAGATCATCAAGTTAGGGTGTAATAGCAAACTAGAGCCTGTCTCTCCTGAGTCCCAGACTAGGGCACTGTCGTAGTTGCCAGGTTGTTGCTATGTCTTTGCATAAGCGTACAGCCCTTATCTTGTCACTATTTCTCTCCTGCTTTCCAAAAGCTGTGCCATTCATTGACAACACATGGTGTTTCAGGAGAACAGTTAGACGAGTGTGTGAATATCCTTGTAAGTTATGACTGGAGATATACAATTTTATGTGCTGGCAGTCATAAATGAATCTTTCTCTTGTAGCCCCCCCCATGACACTTAGTCACTGCCAGTCATGTGTTATTTCCTCACTTTTCTTAATCAAAACAGCACTTTATCTAATTTATAAATGTTCATTGGTTATCTTCTATAGCATTGCCCAGGTGGCTTTTCTTTATAATCAATGAAAAAATTACCTTATTTCCTCCCTTTTGCTTGTTCACTTTCATTGGAACCTGGATATGGATTTTGTACTTAGGCTTTTGTATGTAATCCTATGGGTTACAAACGTTTCACAGAGCAGATGAAGAAACATTGATCAGAATTGTTTTTCATCAGTCAGCAGTGAGAACCAAGAGCATTTGGTCTTAGGGAGCTCTCTGCTTCTTCCATGTTTGGCCTTGATACATTTTATTTTGGCTGGCTCATGCAACCAACTCCTTGAGTTTTGCTGAAGAAATATTTATCCATAAAGCTTAAGTCCATAAGGAACTTAGATTAACTTGCATATAACAAGCCATTAAAATTCACCCTGAGGATTCTTCTTAAAGTTATCCCTCTGTTTAGCCCGAAGCCTTAATGTTTGATAGATTACAGCTCCCTGAAAGAGATCCTGTCTTCATCTTGAAAATGTTAGGACATAGAGATTACGGCATTTCCTTTCCCCCCAAATTTTGGGCAGTCATACAAAATTTGAGCCTGGTTTCTAATTATTTGTCTAGCTTCAGCTTTCAGACTCCTGCTCATTATTCTTCTCCACTAAGTCATTTTACACAATGACCAAATTTCTGTCTCCCTATTTGGATGTGCTGAAGGGACAAAGAAGATACACTTCATGGGCAAAACTTTGGGGTCCTATGATTTGAGGTGATGATAAGCGGGATTCAGGAGTGGAAGTCTTCTTTTCAAAAGTGCTCTAGGCAGTGAACCAGAAAGCTGAAATTAGGATGTTGGTTCCTAAGTCACTGAAGCCCCACCTTGTGCCAAGGGACAAAGCAGAACCTTGAAAAGGGCTGAACGTCTCTTCCCTGAACAGTGGTGTGAGGAGCTGAGTGTGATATAATGATTTTAGGATGAAAGACCCTTTTGTTGCAGGATTAGCTGAGATCACACAGCGCCTCAGGTTAGCTTTAATCGTGAGAGGCAGGAGAGAGGCAACTGCCTTTATCAACTACGCTATCTTACACAGCCCTCTATTCTTTCCCCTGCAGAATAAAAAATTTACATTATCCATTTGTACAATTTTTTTTTAGCATTTTAAAAATCAGCTTTAAACCTCCATTTGTACAATTTTTTTTTAGCATTTTAAAAATCAGCTTTAAACCTCCATTTGTACAATTTTTTTTTAGCATTTTAAAAATCAGCTTTAAACCTCCTTTTGTACTAATAATGTGGATGCCTGGAAGTAAAAGCTGGCAAGGATGCCTTGCCTGTGTAAGCACAATGGTCAGAGCCTGGCAAGGTTTTCTACAGCTCACCTGGAGCCTGAAATTTGACAGCCCCATGAGAAAGTGGGAAGGGGAATAGCACAATCCCAATATGCATTGCTAACACTTTATTCTGTACCCTTCTCACTTGAAGGAGGGGGAAATACTATGTCGCAGTCAAAATTTTAAACTGACAATGGAAAAAAATCTGTTTAGCCTCTCCATTTTTTGGAGTTTTCCAACTGGAAATTTCCCTGTCTGATCTTGTCAAGCTTCCTATTTTTTCGTGAAGCTCAGTAGGTGGGAATTTCCTAAAGGACAGTTGA